TACGTACAATACAGTTTATTGTAAATACAAAACTGGAAAGTCTGTACAGTTTTGAAAGACATAATGGATAGTGACGATCTAGCACTTGTTGTGGAGCGCTTGTGGTCCCGGTATTTACACCGTGGTGGCCTAGTGGGAGGAAAGGCATACGAATCTAAAGGGGGGGGGATATATATCTTCTATTCGTAGGTTTAATCACACACAACTCAATATCATGTTGTTGTTGTTGTTTTTTGAAGGTCGATACATGATTTTTTTTTGTGCTGATGAATCACTGGGGTGTGTTTTATTAATTGGTCTTTTTTTTCGTTTTTTTTAGAAGGGAGGGAAAAAAAGTTTTAGTCTCTTGTCCCACCAGGCCACCGATTGAGGTTGACGTCTGGACTCGAAAACTGCCCCTAACATGCGGGTTTTTCATCCCAGTACAGAAAATATCTTCATCAAAAAGTCTTTATGACGTTACAAAAAAAGCTTTGCCTTTTTTTAGTACAAAGACTACCATGTCTTCTTTTATATATAAAAAAATGAGTCTTATCTAAAAAATAGAAGAAAAATTGAAAGCTCAAAATCTGGGATGGTCAGTTGTCAAATACAAAAAAAGGCACAGGAAGAAATTCAAAAACTTCCTTTTTTTTAAATGCAGAATATGGTGCATGCTACTCATACTTCAAACGTTACAAATTTGTGTAAAAAAAGGCATTATTTTAAGGCTGTGGCAATTGACACTTCCTACGCCTGGCAGTGGGGGGGGGGACACCAAAACATATCGTGCAGTAGATTACAATGTCTTTTTTGTGCTTACTGACATGACACACATAGTATATAATATCAAACATCTGGATATTTCTACAAAATACCACACAACATAATAATACAGCCTTACACAATTCATAACAAGAATGAAGAAAGCTTCTTTTTCTTTTAATGGAGATGATACACATTAAAACACGAAAAGAAACTATCAAATTCATTAATAAAAAACCCAGAGACGAAAAGTTGACCAATATCCAAAAACCATTTTTTTTTTTAATTCCTTCAAATGCTAAGCGACAGAATTTCTGCGTCAGAAGAGAACCACAATCTACCTTAATTATAAAACTAACACGTACAATATTTACACTACGAGCTCCAAAGCCCATCTACTGAAAGACGAGAAAAAGGCTAGTATTTTAAACTTTTTTTTTTCTCTCTCATATCTTCTGTAAGGATAAAAAATATGGAAGGGCAGAGACAGGACGGGGTGAAGAGAGACATATCCCACACTGGACGGAACCTAGTGGTCCGGAAAAACAAACAATAAAAGCAAATTTGTATCTCATTTAGGTGCATACGTAGAGATAGATATATTATCTATTCGCAAACTTGTTATCTGCTATATTTCATTATTAATTACATTATTACAGTTTATTATTATCATTGTTTTTTTTTTTTTACCAACCATCTGCAAAAAATAAAAGCAACACCGTACAGTCTTTGCAAAGGAGAAAAATATGTATACTTTTTTCCCGAGTTTTGAAAAGACGAAAAAGCTACTTTGAATGACCCAAACACAAAGAAACCCCCAAATATAATTATTCAAACCATCACCGGCGTCTCTATTCAAAACAGTAATTACAAGATGGCTTCCTATATAATAATAAAAAAAAGAAGAAGGAACAAAAAAAGTGTCTTTCTCTTAAGCCCAACTGTCCATAGGGGCGAAAGTCTCAGGACATGTAGTGAGTTGTTAGTCCTTACGACACCTCTACACTTAAGAGCAATCCAGAGGGATTTTATACATTTTGAAACAAAAACAAAACAAAAAAAAAACAAAACAAAAAAAATGTCTACTTATCCACTACATTATAATTTACAGAAAAGCTGATCACCCATTACTATATACAAGACAAACTATATAATAAAATAAAAGTTAAATAAAGAGAAGATACATATACACTGGGATGGATTTTGATAATCAAAGGTAAATAAATAAAAAAAATAAAAATAAAATGTCTGGATGCACCCAAGGCGAGATTTGATAGACAGAGAGTGGGGAAAATGTTTTTTTTGTTGTTTTTCTTTTTTTTTTTTTCAATTGCACAGAGCTGGCAAAAATTACTGGAGATCATTTTGATTGCTGATAATGCTGACTAGTGGATACAGTGTTGCCAAAGTTTTTTTTTACATTTTTTCTTCTTTTTTTCTTTTTGATATAAGTAAATCTAAGTGACCAATTCCAAGTTATAATACAGAAAAAAGTTAACAATCATTTTAGGTATTTATATAAATACTAGTTTTATTTATCTATTTATTTATTCATGCGTTCACTTTAGCATCACTGTTATAAGAGAGAACATAGACTAAGTTAAGAAAAAACAAAGTCACAACTGAGACAAACCTACGGGTCCACAATCCGGATTTTATGCCCCCAAATGCAAAATTTTGTCTAGGTGTCTCGTCATCTTATTTATTTAACAAAGCCTCGTTCTCCAAAGAGCCAGGTCAGCTCAGGCTAAAGAAAGACTAGTCAAAATGACACAAGAACGTAAGTGTCATAATCACTAAGCAAGGCTAGAGGAAGAGACACAACACTTGTGTGATTGGCTAGAACAACCGACCAATCACGGCCCAGCAGCAGACCGACGAGGACCAATCACGTTTGAGCACTTGGCGCCAAATCTGACCAATGACAAGGAACGAAAATTTCGAAAGTGCTATGAGACGCCGTAAACAACCTTTTTAAGAAAAAAAAATAAAACAGAAGGCTTCAAAATTCATCTTCCGCTTTTTTTTTTTTTTTTTTACAATTTGACAAAAAACACAAGTGAAGGTCTGCGTCTCTAGAGGATTTAATTCACATATATATAGTCAGGGTATCACTTCTTGTAGCTTTGATGACCGTGGACACAGAATGGCATCCTCTTCGCACCTGAAAATGACTTTTTTCTTTTGTTTTTTTCATTATCATTCTTCCCCATAAACTGAACTCGATGTAATTTTGATATTTTTTCCCCCTCCCTCCCTCCCACAAAATCCTCCAGAAAGGCTCTGAGATAATACAACCCTTAATTAAATTGAGCAAAACAGAAGGAACAGCATCCGTGTTCTCACATACAAGGCTAAATTTTTCAAGCTTAGATGGCACACGAAACTCAATGTAAAGTCCTTGTATTTTTCAGCTACAAAAGAGTTGCCTCACCGTGTCCAGGGATATAATATTGCTTATTCACATATGACTTAGAGCACCAATTAAACTATGCTATATACAAAAGCACAAGGCAAGATTCTGGTCAAATAAAGTAATGCCCATCAAAAATCTCGGCAGAATAATCAAATAGTCACATTACAACTTCGTTACTTGAATGCAAACTTAATCGATAGATCCAAAAAGTACGCGGCCACAAAATTCAATACAATGGCATAAGAAAAAAAAATATGTACAACCAAATTCTCTCTTACTTTGCTTATCTCGCGGAGAATTAAAGAGAGCATGACACGGAAATCACGACTGCAAACTCTATTTACAGCAAAATCATTTTCTTGTCATTTTTCCCAATAATCACAAATAACACTTTTCTTCTTAGGCCTACAGAGCAAAATCCTGCCTTGGAGCCAACAATCAACCACTGGAGGACGGAAGGAAAGGCCTACGCTACAAATCCCCGTAGGCCTATCCTCGCCACCTCGGAAAGAACATTTTCTTTTAATATTTATATAAAATACTAGTGGTGAATGAGATCCTTCGTTTACCTTGTAGTAAAGCTACACCAAGTTTTTTTCCTTCCCTTTGAGTGGGCGGAGCTGGTCGCACGCGCGTGAAATGTTCGGTGTTGTGGTCGAATCACAGGCTTGCGTGAAGGAAAGGGGGAAACAGTGTCACGGCTCTATGTAAAAATGAATAATAATAACAAATAAACATAAGTAATACATAACACAAGTAAATGAATAAGACTAAAAGTGTCTCTGCTCGAATATATATGTAAAAGAAAAAGATAAAAATAAGATATAAATAAAAAAATGACGTATTGGCAGAGAAAAGGGTAGACGAAAAGCAAACAAACTGACACTGTTTATCTTCATTTTTTTTTTTCTTCTCCTTTCGTTCATCAAAAGCCTTCAAAATGACCCACCGTCTTTCACGCAGATGTGATCGCAAACGCCCACAGGGAAGTTGTTTAAGGGCGGCCTCGGAAAAGCCTGGTTCGCGGGGCGGAAGGACATTCATTATTAATTGTCCAAATATATATTTTTTTTCTCTTTTTTTTCCGTCACGAGGAACCAGAGCTTCCATCAGCCTAATAATTCTTTCTATGTTTTTTTTTTAAGTTTCTTTCTTTTTTTTATCTAGTGAAAGACGCCAGGGTAGTGGCTAGTTAATCATCAATTGGCAGGTTTAGGAAGGTTGACGCGCATTTTCAAAAACCTTCGTGAATTTGGAAAAATGAACAAGCATTTAAGGACAAAGCCACATCAGATATCTTTCAATACCAATAATAATAATAATAATAATGATAATGATAATAATAATAATAATAATAAAAGCTATAATAACAATACTACAAATAACTACAACTTTCTTTTTTTAATTTATTTGAAGGATTTCAATCTGATGTGGCGACCTGTCTTTTTTTCAATACATGGATTTGCCAGAAAAAAATGCATTAATAAAATTAACAGGAAAAACAAAGAAAAAAATTGATAACTACACCATTTTCAAGAAAGCTAATGCACATATCCCGACTGCATAATGATGAGCAGAGACTACCAATGCTCTCCATTAATTAACAAGACCATTTTTGCTTCCTGTTCAAATCTCCTCGATTTTGTGCTGGCGAATCCAAAGGTAACCGGGATACATTCGATAAAAAAGTTCATTACAATTTTTAAAAAGTACATAATGACAACGTATTTTCTACAACCACTTGTTCTTCGCCAAAAAAAAAACAATGATTTGGCTAGTAAGATAAGCGAGATACAGTTTCCTTATCTCTACAACCTTTTTTTTTTCTTCTTTCTTTGTTTTATGTGTGTCTTTCTTTGGCCCTTAAAAAAGGAGGCTCGTCAATATCATCGATGGAGGAATGGCAGAAGTAGCTGAACCTTTGAGGTAGGAAAATCAAGCAGTGAACTCCGACCTCGGCTTCGGTTCGTCCAGGAGAGTTTGAGAGAGAGAGAGAGACGGGAAGGGAAACGAACGCGTCGAACGCCTCCCCGCGTCAGCTGAGTGGAAAATCAACCGTTTCCACCAACACCTTTATTTCTCTCCGACGAAAAAAAAAGGAGAAACTCCCTTTAAAAAATATCCACTCTCTTCCTCAGTCTTTCACTCCTCCTTTTTCCCTCTTCTTCCGGGAGGCGAGTTCACTGCGAACCAAAAACAAATATCCAAAAGAGAAAAAAAAAAAAAAAAAAACGGAAAAAAAAAATATCCTTCGACCTGTCCAAAACGGTCATCATTACCATCGTCATCGTCATCGTCATCGCCTCACTCAGCGGAACTTGTTCAGGAGACGCCACCACACCAGGCACAGGATGGTGGCGGTGAGGCATCTCGTCACTGCCACAGGCACTGAGAGACTGAGCGGTGCCTCCTCGTCCTGCTTTGTGCCGACCTGAGGAGAGAGAGAGAGAGAAGAAAAGGATTAGTAAGCTTCCTTGAGTTACGATGGACGAGAATATGTTGCATCTGGGGGGATTAAATGTAAAATATGTCAGGTCAGAACAATGAGACATAAATCGTCTTTCCTTATTTCTCTCTCTTATTTACCGCGTCGTAAAAAGAGAAAAGAGGAGAGGAGCGAAGAGAAAAGAAAAGAAAAGAAAAGAAGAGAAGAAAAGAGGAGAGAAGAAGAAAAGAAAAGAGAAGAGAAGAAAAAAGAAGAGAAGAGAGAAAAGAAGAAAAGAAAAGAGAAGAGAAGGGAGGAGAAAGCAACAACAATAACAATGCAGGAAAGGAAATCAAAAAGTCCAAACAAACTCTCCCCAACGGCAACACCGATATCTGCTTACCGTTTACAAAATGCCTAACAACCTTATCAGTGATAGTTATTTACCATCCCAGCAACCATCTATAGAGTGAGGTGTAACAAGCGCACGTGTTCGCCATTATCATACTGTAATTATACGATTATTGATGCTATCAGCTAGTTTGTCCGGTCCAGTTAATCTCATAATTAGTTGCTCGCCGTCTGGCATCACTGCACAACCTTGCCGAGAGACCGGTGGCCAAAGTTTTTTTTTTTTTTTGTACTATTTTGGCGGACTCGACATGGACACTTAAAGGTACTGATAAGTTTTGTGATAAACCGAAATTTCTATGTTGTAACGGGATAGAAAATTAGAAAAAAACGGAATATGGAAACCCACCCTGCTTTTCTCCCCTCCTCCTTCCCCTCTCCCTCCCTACCAACCCCCTTCTCCCCTCCCTCCCTTCTCCCCTCCTCCCTTCCCCCCTCCCTTACCTTCCTTCCCTCCCACCCCCCCCCGCTTCCCATATAACCATAAGCTTGTATAATGAATGAGGCAGTTAATGAGCTAACTGCGACTGACCAACACGTGTTCAGCTACCGCCCGCCCGCAAGCCCCCCCCCCCCCCGCCCACCCGTACGCACGCACGCACACCACTAAGCATCAGAGGTCAGTAGGTCATCTATCTCCCGGTCAACAACTGAATCATCACAAAATACTTCAGAATCTTGCAAGATAAAGAGTGCTGCGTCAACTACTTTGTCAGCAGAGAGGGAGAGAGAGGGAGGAAGAGAGGGAGAGGGAGAGGGAGAAGGAGGGAGGGAGGGAGGAAAGGAGGGAGGGAGGAAAGGAGGGAGGGAGGAAGGAGGGAGGAGGAAGGTGGGAGGGAGGAAGGAGGGAGGAGAGGAGGAGGGAGGAGGAGGGAGAGAGAGAGAGAGAGAGAGAGAGAGAGAGAGAGAGAGAGAGAGAGAGAGAGAGAGAGAGAGAGAGAGAGAGAGAGAGAGAGAGAGAGAGGCGACAGCGACACCTGAAGCCTGTTAACAGTAACATTACTCTCCGCAAACCAGAGGAGCGCGGGAGTGTCGGCGCCCAAGCAAGCGGCGCATCCTCACCTTGGCGTGGTCGAGCGTGAACTGGTCGGCGAGCTTCCTCAGGTCCTGGCCGATGTGCTTCCACCGCCGCTCCTGCTCCGTCAGGCCCTCCGCCCGCGCGCGCTCCCCGCCCGGGCCGCCGTCGTGGGCGCAGGTGCGGGCGTGGGGAAGGCTGCTGGTCGAGGAGGCCTGCTGGAGGCGCGGCACCGCCCACGACAGCTGCGGCAGGTCGTGCGGGAGGGGGGCGTGGTGCGCGCGCGGCGGCTCCTCCCTCAGCAGCGTCCGGCGCACCTCCTGGATGTGTCCGAGGCCCGCGCGGAGGGCGTCGCGCTCCTGCGGCTCCTCCTGGGCGCGGGCGGGCGGCGGGCGGCGGGGCGGCGCCCAGGACGACTTGTTGCTTCTGGCGGCCGGGGGGGCGGGGCTCTCCTCCGGGAAGAGGAAGTGGTAGGAGTGGGCGCGCCGGAGGGGGGAGGGAGGGGGGGTGTTGCTCAGGATCACGTCCGGTAGGGGCGCCTGGGCTGGGGGGGGGGGGGGAGAAGAGGGCAATGGTTAGTCGGGTTATTTTGATGCGAAGGAAATTAAGGAACGCTACTCTCTCTCTCTCTCTCTCTCTCTCTCTCTCTCTCAAGCAGCCATTATAGAAGGCAGGTTAAAATGCGTTCAGAAGACAGCGCAGGTCATAAATATTAATAATGATTATCTTGTCACGAGCCATGATTCAAAAGCCCTTGTCAAAATGCATTAGAGTTAATAAGCTAATTGCCCGCGAGTCTGAGCGTGCGTGCGCGTGAGTGTGAGTGTCAGTGACTGCGCGCGCTGACAGGGTGCCTCTCTCCCCCCTCCCTACCCTCCCTACCCTTCCTACTACCCTTCTCCCCCCCTCGACCCTCCTCCCTTCCCCTTCCCCTACCCTCCCTCTCCACTTCCCTTCCCCCTTCCCTTTCCCCCCTTCTCCCTCCCCCCCCCCCACCCAGACACATGAGACGGGCACAAAGACCTGTCAACATGAGACCAGCTTCAGGTTGACAGATAGGTCCCCCCTTCTCTCCCCCCCCCCGAAAGGCTTAACTCGGCCTACCGGAACTGGGGGGGGGGGGGGTAGGCCTGGGGTCGCGTAGGCCTACCTGCACTCTCAAAACTAATAAAAATAAAGAGATAGAAGACTAGTTGCTAATTGTAACGAGATAGCGGGAAGGAATGGGGAGGGGGGAGGGAGAGAGAGAGAGAGAGAGAAGAGAGAGAGAGAGAGAGAGAGAGAGAGAGAGAGAGAGAGAGAGAGAGAGAGAGAGAGAGAGAGAGAGAGGCGACAGCGACACCTGAAGCCTGTTAACAGTAACATTACTCTCCGCAAACCAGAGGAGCGCGGGAGTGTCGGCGCCCAAGCAAGCGGCGCATCCTCACCTTGGCGTGGTCGAGCGTGAACTGGTCGGCGAGCTTCCTCAGGTCCTGGCCGATGTGCTTCCACCGCCGCTCCTGCTCCGTCAGGCCCTCCGCCCGCGCGCGCTCCCCGCCCGGGCCGCCGTCGTGGGCGCAGGTGCGGGCGTGGGGAAGGCTGCTGGTCGAGGAGGCCTGCTGGAGGCGCGCACCGCCCACGACAGCTGCGGCAGGTCGTGCGGGAGGGGGGCGTGGTGCGCGCGCGGCGGCTCCTCCCTCAGCAGCGTCCGGCGCACCTCCTGGATGTGTCCGAGGCCCGCGCGGAGGGCGTCGCGCTCCTGCGGCTCCTCCTGGGCGCGGGCGGGCGGCGGGCGGCGGGCGGCGCCCAGGACGACTTGTTGCTTCTGGCGGCCGGGGGGCGGGGCTCTCTCTCGGGAAGAGGAAGTGGTAGGAGTGGGCGCGCCGGAGGGGGGAGGGAGGGGGGGTGTTGCTCAGGATCACGTCCGGTAGGGGGCGCCTGGGCTGGGGGGGGGGGAGAAGAGGGCAATGGTTAGTCGGGTTATTTTGATGCGAAGGAAATTAAGGAACGCTACTCTCTCTCTCTCTCTCTCTCTCTCTCTCCTCTCTCAAGCAGCCATTAGAAGGCAGGTTAAAATGCTTTCAGAAGAACAGCGCAGGTCATAAATATTAATAATGATTATCTTGTCACGAGCCATGATTCAAAAGCCCTTGTCAAAATGCATTAGAGTTAATAAGCTAATTGCCCGCGAGTCTGAGCGTGCGTGCGCGTGAGTGTGAGTGTCAGTGACTGCGCGCGCTGACAGGGTGCCTCTCTCCCCCCCTCCCTACCCCTTCCTACTGCCCCCTTACCCTCCTCCCCCCCCTCGACCCTCCTCCCTTCATCTCCCTGCCTTTCCCTCCCCTCCTCCCCCACCTCTCCCCGTCCTCCCTTCCCCTTCCCCTACCCTCCCTCTCCACTTCCCTTCCCCTTCCCCTTTCCTCCCTTCTCCCCTCCCCCCCCACCCCAGACACATGAGACGGGCACAAAGACCTGTCAACAGAGACCAGCTTCAGGTTGACAGATAGGTCCCCCCCTTCTCTCCCCCCCCCCGAAAGGCTTAACTCGGCCTACCGGAACTGGGGGGGGAGGGGGGAGGCCAGGGGTCGCGTAGGCCTACCTGCACTCTCAAAACTAATAAAAATAAAGAGATAGAAGACTAGTTGCTAATCGTAACGAGATAGCGGGAAGGAATGGGGGAGGGGGGAGGGAGAGAGAGAGGGAGAGAAGAAGAAGAAGAAGAAGAGAGAGAGAGAGAGAGAGAGAGAGAGAGAGAGAAGAAAGAAAGAAAGAGAGAGAGAGAGAGAGAGAGAGAGAGAGAGAGAGAGAGAGAGAGAGAGAATACGAGAATGAGGGGGGAGGGGGGAGGGGGGTTACCTCCAATAAGCTCGACGATAAATCCGCGGGGATGAGATGGTTACACTAATCCTGACGAAAACGAGTTGATAGGATAAACTCTCTCTGCGTGTGCGTTCGTGTGTGTGTGTGTGTGTGTGTGTGTGTGTGTGTGTGTGTGTGTGTGTGTGTGTGTGTGTGGTGTGTGTGTGTGTGTGTGTGTGTGCAAACTGCTCACCTCCCAATCTACGTATCTCCCTCTCTTCCCCCTTCTCCTCCCCCCCTCCTCACCCCCCCCGCAACAATCTTATCAGAAACCAAACCCCCACTACAAAAAAAAACGTAAAAAAAAAGATAAACAAAAGAAAAACAAATAAAACATAAAAAAACGGAAAAAATAAAAACTGTCAAAAAATTGGCGCGAAAGAGATCCATCCACCCTCCCTCCCCCTCCCCCTTTCCCCCCTCTCCTACCCCCTCCCCCTCCCTCCCCTCCACCCCGCCCAACAAAAGAGACAATGTATAAAAAAAATAAAAATAATAATAATAAAAAAAACGTAAATAAATCCGAGAGGGCAGCACCGTCCGCGAGGAGCGAGCGAGCCACTCTGCCCGCCGGAGGACAAAGGACGCGGGGGGGAGGGGGGGGGAGGAAGGTGAAGGAGGGGGAGGGTGGAAGGAGGGAGAAGAGGAGGAGGGGGAGGGGGGAGATGGGAGAGGAGGGGGAGAGAAGGGAGAGGAGGAGGAGAGGTGGTAGGGCGAGAGGGAGAGGGAGGGGGAGGGTGAAGAAGGGAGAGGAGGAGGAGGAGGAGGAGAAGGGGATAGGGGAGGTGGGAGAGAGGACGTGGGGGAGGAGGGGGAGAGGTAGGTGGGGGGTGAGGAGAAGGGGTAAGGGGGGTTATCTAGGATGATGAGAGGACCAGTATTAGGAGGGGGAGAGGGGAGAGGGGAGGGGGGAGAGGAGGGAGAAGAAGCGGTAAGAAGGAGGGAGGGGTGGGGGGTGGGGGGGAGTACGGATTACATTTCCTCGCAACATCTTCGTCCTCCGGATAAGAAACCCGAGAGGAAGGCGAAGGAAGAAAGATAACCCGAAGGATAAAGAAGAAATAGGGAGAGAAAATGATCGGATACGCACTTCAGGATGGCGTGAAGCTGCTGCTGTTGTTGTTGTTGTTTGTCGTTGTTGTTGTTTTGGCGGGAAATGGTACGGTGGCGGGTAAACGGGAGGGGGGGGGAGGGAAGGAGGGAGGGAAGGAGGGAGCGAGGGAGGGAGGGAGGGAGGAAGGAGGGAGGGAAGGAGGAGGAAGGAGGGAGGGAGGGAGGGAGAGAGGAGGAGAGGAGAGGAGAGAGAGAGGAGAGAGAGAGAGGAGAGAGAGAGAGAGAGAGAGACCGAGAGACAGACAGACAAGCAGACAAACAGACACAAACAGAACAGCCATCACCACCAACCAACAAACGAGAGGGAAAAAAAAGTTTAACAAACAATAAATAAAACTCATCACATCACGTAGAACCCCCAATCAAAAAAAGAAAAAAAAAAAAATCCACTTCCCCCTCACCTCCCCCTACCATCCCCCCCTCCCCCCCCAACTCGACAGAAGTTCCCGGTCGTCATTTCTCGAAGTCAACAAACTTCGGGACACGAGAGGTAAAACCGTAACCCCCACCCCCCCCACCTCTCTCCCCTCCCCCCACCCCCGAACATAAAAGAAAGAAAAAGAAGAAGAAAAAAAAAGGAAAAAAAAAGTGCACATCTGGGTAAGCGAGTTAAGACGTGATAAAAAGAGAATGGGGGGGGGGGAGGGAGAGGAGAGAGAGAGAGAGAGAGAGATGAGAGAGAGAGAGAGAGAGAGAGAGAGAGAGAGAGAGAGAGAGAGAGAGAGAGAGAGAGAGAGAGAGAGAGCAACAAAAAAATTATTCGGTTACATGACAAGTGCTTCTTCTTCTACTTCTAACCCGAAAGTCGACTCGTTCTAGAAGTGCTTTTGTTTTTGTTTGTTTTTTTGTTTGATCTTAACCTTTTTGTCTAATGAAATTGCACAATATTTTTCATTATCATACGTGCAAATCAATATTTAAAAAATAAACTCGTCCTTCTATCATAAATGAAATTACAATTACAGATAATGTGACCTACAGTCGGGGGGGGGGGGGGGAGGCAAGAAGATGCTAAGTGCTACGTGTCACCATTAGGGTTCAAGATCCCGTTGAAGGGTAATGAGGATTTGACCCTAACGGACTAATGACGTCAGACGCGTATCTTATTAGAAGAACTCGTGTTAAAAAAAATATAGTTTCAAGTAAAAATATAATTTCTAAATTCATGTTTTGTTTTGGTTTTTTGGTTTTTTCTCTCTTTCGTCACTACATACTGTTTCGGCGAAACCTACGAATTGACATTTTGTCCAATTTCGTAATTTTCGTGAAAGGTCGACTTCTACATATCCAGTCTTCAAAAAAAAAAAAATTCTATGGAGAAAAAAATGGTAACGAATGAAATAATTACGTAATGCTAGATCAAATATCGCAACAACACACAAGATCGAGATTAAGTGAAAACTATTTACGAACGATAACAAAAAAAGTAAAGACTCAAAAAAACACCACCAGATTCACAAACAACAAAACATACATAAAAAAAAAAAAATAGCACACACAATCCACCAACACCTTTACCTCTTTCCTCTCCAAAAGAA